CTCAATGTCGTAGAGCACCTGGGGCTGCAGCGGCGCCCAGGATACCAGGCCGGCAGTGCCACGATGCGGACCGCGAAACTGCCGGCCGCCTCGCTCGCCCTTGGTCGGCATTAGGCGTCGCCCCGGGGCGTTCCCGCCAAAAGAAAGCCGCGTCGTGCTCGGGGAGGGCCCGGGCACAGGTGGTTCGGGGAAAAGGGCCCCTGCGCGAGGGCCTATGCGCGCTCGCGCTCAGTGCTCCACCTTTGCAGGAAGAGGCGCCGCAATCGGCGCGGCCCGTTCCCCGGGCTGTGTGGGCATCTGTGCCGGCGTCGGTCACCGGCCGAGAGGCGCCGCGGGTGAGGCGGCGCGGCTGCATTTTGAACGCGCCGCACTGACCCCGTCGAGAGGCGGCGGCCAGCACCGCTCTTCGGCCGCCACGACAGTAATGCCCCAGCCGAAGCCCCAGCCGACTCCGCTGCTCGGTGTACGAACTCTGTTCACAGACCTTGTTATATACAAGAAAATACGTCCTATGGCGCTTTGCGCTGGTCTATGAGACTTGAGAGGTTGAGACACCGAGCAGCTGGGAGTGGCTGCGGCTATAGCAGACAGTGTGCGGCATTACGAAGGCGGAGGGGCTCAAAAGAATTCGCGCCAAAAAATATTAACAACGAAGGCGCTCTCAAAGAAAAAAGCTCTCTAAAGGAGTGTGGCCACGACCGGCCGCACAGGCCGTGCCAAGCTCCGCCGGCGTGGCAGCAGCTAGGCAGCGCCACCATCCACGGCCTTTCTCGCGCCTTTGCTAGCACATTGGCCGACGCCGGTGCGCATCGATCGCATCTGCTGTCGCTCGCCGCCAAGATTGCTGGCCTTTGAGGCTGGCGCAACGGAACGCCAGCAGCGAGGCTGGGCTGCCACTGAGCGGCGCGGCGCGACGGTGAGGCCAGCCAGAAGACGAGCATAACCCCGCCGCTGCGGCAAATCAGAGGCAGCCACTTGCGGGTCCGGTTTTGTTTGCCTCGCCCGGTCGGCTTTATCGCGCATGTATATGCGATGGGACTGGCCCCGACGGTTTACGCCGGCGGCGCCCGCCGAATGTCACGAGGAGACAAAAGAATTCGTGCCAAAGAAAAATTATCAAGAACCAAGGCGCTCTCAACGAAAAGTGCCGCGCCTCCCAGCCCTCCTGTGGGCCCGCGGCGGCTCGCCGCCGCGGTTCTGAACAATGTGATCGCTCCGGGCTCGTCCCGGCGTACCGCCGGTGCCGTTTCTTCGCCGATTTTTTCCTCAACCTGTTAGTCGACAAAGTTGTGCCCGAGCTCCTACTGCTCGTTTGGGCGGCGTAACCGGGTCCTCGCGGCCGAGATGCGGTGCGCCGACACCGGGGCTTCGGCGCGGGGCAATTTCCGGGCCGTCTCGAGCAACTTCGAAATCGACCAATTTTGTGACTTCATCATCCTGCTGCTCTTTGACCTCAGCCTCGCTGCCCTCTGCGCGGCTGGCCTAACCTGTGCTGCTGCTGCTGCTGCTGCTGCTGCTGCTGATGCTGCTCCTGCTACCCTCCCGCCCGCCCGCCCTGTCCGCCCGCCCTGGCCGCCCGCTCGCAAGGGGCCTTCACCTACACACTGGTCTGCTCCCCACATCTCCCCACACCTCCCCACACCTCCCTCTCCCCACACCTCCCCACATCCCCCCACCTCTCCCAACACCTCCCCACACCTCCCCACACCTCCCCACATCTCCCTCTCCCCACATCTCCCCACATCTCCCCACACCTCCCCACACCTCCCCACATCTCCCCACACCTCCCCACATCCCCCTCT